ATCTGTGAAGGCACAGTGGTAATTACAAAGAATTCACTGAATGCAGAAACAAAACCATCATTGGAAAGGTAGATTTTTATATTCAAAGAACTTCAGATAAGTAGTTATGGTTGAGGGAAACTTGTTTGTAATTCAGCTAATATTTATGAGGTTTATTTGTACCTGCCACATGGACCATGCACTACTTGCTTGATTTTGGTTCTTACTGGGGATGTACTTCAGTGGTAAAGGTCCTCAGTTCAATCCCCAGTACCATAAAAATAAAAATAACTAATAAGAGCCAAATATATTTCAGTCTTAGTCCATTTGGGCTGCTATAAAAAATACCATAGATTGGGTAATTTATAAATAACAGAAACTTGTGCTCACAATTACAGAGCCTGAGATCTAGATCTAGGCATCAGTAAGCTCAGTGTTTGGTGAGGACTCATTTGAAGAGCAAACAGTTCCCTAAAGACTTTTTTGTAAGGTCACTAATCCCACTCATGAAGTCAGAGCCCTCAAGACCTAATCATATCCCCAAAATCCTAATTCTTAATACTATTGTGTTGAAAATTAAATTTCAACATATGAATTTTGAGGGAACACAATTATTCAGACCATAGCTTGTGCTTATGCTGGGGATACAAAGAAATAAAATACAACCACTGCCTTTAAGAGGCTTAGTAAGAAAAGAGATTTATTAAATAGGCAGTTACATTGGGTGAAAATGTGGTAAGTGTAATGAAAAAGGCAAGTATAGGGTGCTCTGGAAGCACATAGGAGGGATTAGGAAAAGTTTTCTTTAGGAATGGCTTTTGAAACAAGTCTTAAAGAGGATAGAATGTCACTAAGACTGGGCCACCAACTGAGAAACAGCACTTTAGTAGTGCTAAAAACTGACAGGGACATTGAGTAGGGGAAAACGGTGGCTGAAGAGAAGAACCAGATCATGGAAGGCCTCACATCCTAGCAGATTTTTGATGGAATGTTTTATTCTAGCTGTTTAAAAAAAAAGTTTTAAAAACATGGTATCAACAAGACTTCTTTACAGTAGAGTATCTTGGATACTTAAATATGCCAGTGTGCATTATATATCTCTAAATAGAATATATTTTGTAGTTTCTGACCATAGAACACATCAAAGATCAGCTTTTGGGATTCAAGTTCTGAGAAGCATCCTTCAGCAAGTAGTGCACAAATCTTGGGGGGAATCTTTGAGAGTTTTATATAGATCATTAACATAGGGAGATTTGCATTTTAGAATACAGTGGTAACATTTCAGAATTCTCTGGCAATCATGTACAGGACAATTGTAAGGTGACAGAATTGATAGCAGAGAGTCCATTAGGAGACCATTGTTTTCAAAGGAGCAAACATGAGAACCTGCACTCCTGTAGAAGTAGGATAAGGATTTTTAAGTGTCTAAGAGGTTTGATTGACAGAATTTGATGGCTGAATGCAGGGATTAAGGGATAGGAAAGACTCAATTTATAACATAGAGGATCAAATGAATGGGGGGTCTGCAATTAAATAACTAGAAGAGGAGTAATAGGTTTAGTGAAGATGCCTTGAGTTTAATTTATGATAAGCCAAAATTGAAGAAATGTATAGGACATCTATATGGATATTCTAAGAAATATTTGGACATGAGTGTAAAGCTTTTGTTAAATGCACAGATTTTCATAGTTAATGGCATGCAGGTATAGTTACAATTATGAGAATATTAAAAAAAAATCATACAGAAAGAGTGAGTAGAGTATAAAGAAACATGGGCCAAAAATAGAGATCAGGGGAATTCCAGCAAAAGTGTTTGCATACATAATGACTTCAAAACCTTGAATAAGCTCAAGCCATAAACACAGTTTGCCATTTAAAAGGCACTGAAAACACACTATTAGACATATTTCAGTGCTAAGTTTTGGGTCTCTATTTCATGCCTCTCTCTACTTAGACTTTATATTGATCTATATCAAGATCTAAATATGCATATTAAAATAAGTGTTCTTCACTCTATAAATTACTAGAATTTTAATTTTTCTTTAACTTCAAAGTGCTTTCTTTTACCTACCCTTTGAAAACAGATTTAGCAGCAAATAGATATGAACTGAAGTTAACATATTTGAGTTTGATTTTGCAAATCGCTAGTGGTGGGTCAGAAATTTCTACATAGGGAGGTCTTGGTGAGGCAATCTTGTTGAAAGAAGGTACTAAGGCAAAGTTTACATTGGAAATGTTTAAAAATGAAGTTGTATATTACTTTGAGGAATGTGGGGTTGATAAAATTTATATATAGGAGTATAGAGAATTTAACTTTCCGTGCAGCCTCTATTTGACCCATGACTGCTCTTTTGCATCATTAATATTCCGAGCTGCTATTAAATTAACCCTCTAAGTAGTTAACAGTATATATTTAACTATATATATAAATACATATATATATTTCCTACAACTAAATGATGCTAAGCCACATCTTCATCACATATTTATCAATTTAATTTATTATTTTGGTTTTTTTGTTTTTTGTTTTTTTTAGTACTGGGGATCGAACTTGGGTCCTTGTGCTTGCACAGCAGGCGGTGAAACCACGAGCTAAATCCCTGGCCCTTAATTTATATTATTGATGAAATTATCTGTCAGGTTCCTTTTTTAAAGCAGTGTGGTAGCATTTTAAAATACAATACCTATAACCAAGCATAGCTTTACTTATCTACTGCTGCATTCATCTACCACAATTAACTAAAGTTATTAGTGTCTGTGCAATATAAACACTATTGGCTTTCAGTTTTGGGTTTTGTTTTTGTTTTTGTTTTTGGTATGGGGGTTGAACTCAGGACCTTGTGCTTGCGTGGCAGGCGCCCAAACCACTGAGGTAAATCCCTGGCCAGCCTTCAGTTTTTATATTATAGATGCTAAAAATTTTCATAATCATCTATGTTAATCAGCTTTCTGTCACTGTGACAAAATACCTGAGAATAACAACCTGAAGGAGGGAGGGCTAGTTTGACTCACAGTTTCAGTGATTTTAGTCCATGGTCTACTGGCTCCCTTTTTTTGTTTTGGTACCGGGGATCGAACTCGGGTCCTTTGAACCTGATGTGAGGCAGAAAATGATGCTGGCAGAGGAGGAGGCTGCTGGCATCGTGGTGGTTACAAAGCAAAAAGCAAAGAAGAGGGCAGGGACAAGATATACTGTTCCTAGACATGCCCTCCATGACCTACTTCATCCAACTAGGTCCTATTCATTGATGAGGTCAGAGCCTTCATGATCCAATCACTTTGCATAAGCCCCACTTCTGAACATTGTTGCACTGGAAACCAGGTCTTCAATATGAGCCTTTAAGGAACATTTCATATCTGAAACCATAACACTAGGAAAATCCTTTATGGAAGAGTCAGAGTATAAATAAAAATGAATAAATAAGTATACATAGCATCATATCAAGTTTGAATAATAAAATATTTATCTAATTAACATAAATGGCATGCATTGGTGTTTGTGTTACAAGTTCTGTATTACACAAATGTCAAAAAGTAAAATAGAAGAAAATTCAAAATAGAGTAAAATCATGCAATCTGCTAGGTATATATTAATTAACAGCAACTTAATAGGTTATACTTCATTGATTTAAAGAAGTACAACAATTAGGTTTTTTGCCAAAGGAGTAATTTAGGCATCAGAAATACAGCTTGTAATGTAGTTACTGCAACCTTGGAAAAACCAGAGGCAGTATGTCTTTTACATATGCCCATTCCAGATAAAGCTTTGCATAAAGTAGGTTTGCCCAGAATTCTTGCAATGGGTATAATTAAGTTAAAGCTTAATGAAATTAAAATGGTTTTCAGCACTCAGGATTCATGGTCAAAACAATGTTCACTGTGATTTTCTGAGAATGATCAATGCATGGCCTGGTTCTCTAGTGCAAGAGATAATGTTAAATTAAAGGAATAAAACAATGGCAATAGTAACTTTTTCCTAAAATTGATTTCTTTCAAAGAATACCAAAGAAAAAAGTGTTTTATATCAATGCAATCTTTGTAAATTCAGAGGAAAAATGATAAATCACATTTCATAGAACATTCAAGCTGATGTTTGAAAAAATTATTTGTGAAGAAGAAAAATATATAAAAAAACCAAAATATCAGACTTAAGATAATCCATATTTCTTCTTCATGAAATATCTGGACTTGGGCTGAGATTTTAGGTATGGGGATAGGAATTATAGTAGCCAATATTTCCTAGGAAATTTAGGTGATATTTCCCAGGAGTTTCGTAGAAAATTCCCATGAAGTCTGCTCTTATGGATGCATAATGTTTTATGAGAATCTATCCTTTTTATATATAGGTTTCAAATCCTTTGGTATGGATTATCTGGTTTCAAATGAGAAAAGAACCTTAAAATATATTAATCTGAAGTTTAAGAATGTCTAAAAAGAAAATCCTCAAGTAGAGGATAAAGAGAATTTTAAGATCCTGAGATATTAGAAGTATCATCCCCCCCACAATATACCAAGAACATAAGTGAGTCAAAAAAGAATAAGAAAAGTAATATTCAGAGTGAAAGCATTGCAGAATAGTGTTAGTAGGGGAAGGAAAAAAATTCAGATATATTTAATAATTTTATGAGACTTCATTTATCAGAGATGGTTTGTTATCATATGAAAACCAGACCATGCAAGTGTCCAAGAAATCTAGACTGATGTTTATGAACAATCTTGATAGGTTTTCAGCATTTAAATATATGCTTTCACTTACTTCACTTTCAAGTAACATATTAATCTACAGGTAATTATAGATTCATTTTTGGTTGATATTTTTGGTAACAACCACATAATTACATTATTTTCAATTTTAAGTCATAGCTATTTTTTATTGTAATGTGGCTTACTTTCCATTTTTCTTATAATTATGTTCATATATTATTAAACAATGTATATATTTATAATTATTGTTTGTTTCTATTATAAAAGGGACTGTAAGCTATTAACTTTTAACTCTTTTTGTTTGTTTGTTTGTTTAGGTCTCACTGTGTAGTTCAGGCTGGCCTTGAACTCACCATGCAGCCCGGGCTGGCCTCGAACACGTGGTGCTCCTCCTGCCTCAGCCTCCCTCTGAAGTGCTGAGATTACAGGCATGCACCACCATGCCCTATTTAACTTTTAATTCTTTTTTTTAAACTCTTAATTAGCTTGATTTTACACATAAACACAAATCATTTAATGTCTGAATGCTTACAAATGTTCTTCCATCTCTATCTCCTCCTGCCTTCTGTACCTCTTTCAGCTACTATTCTCACTTTATATTGTCTCATGTCTCTGCTAAATCAGATTCCAATAGCCCTGCCTAAGAAATCATGAATTAAAACATAGTAAGTGATCATTAATTTTGTTTGTCAACTTGATAGGATTGAGTAACCCTTGAAAATTGATAAAGCACATTTCTGGATGTGTCTGTGAGGTTATTTCCAGAGAAGGTTGGTATATGGAACAGCAAACTGAGTGAGAGAGATCCACCTGGAATGTGGGCAGAACCATTCCTTAGGCTTGGGTCCAGAAATGCATGCTTGTGTTCAGCCCTTCTTGAGTGGATGTCTTTTTGTTAATGCTATCACCTGTGGACATCAGGATGCAGATTTTTCAGTCTTTGTATGTGAACTTGAACCTATGGTTCTCCTAACGCTAACCCTAACCCTAACTCTAAATGGATTATCTATCTCTGGATTAATGGGTTAATAAATTACTGGAATGTTAGAGTAGGTGTGGCTTTGTTATAAATGCAAGCTAGCAAGCTTATTCTGTCTTGCTCCTGTGCCAGCCACCTTGAGACTGCAGAGAATTTTCACCAGAAAGAAAGTTTTTATGAGATGTGACCCCTCAACCTTGAACTTCCAGCCTCCAGAAGTATGAGAAATAAATTTCTTTTTTAAAAAATGTTACCTAGACTGTGGTATTCAATCATAGCCACAAAAAATGGACTAAGACACATGAAAAAAACAACTGTAGGATAGTAAAAAGAAGACTGCCAAGATTGGATATAGTCTTAGATTCAAAATAAGGTTCTCTTATCTAGACTTTAGACTAACAGATAAAATTCAAGGTATCTAGTTAAATTTGAATTTCATTAAACAGTGATTTTTATTATAAATATGCCACATAAGTATGGAACATGCACTAAAATTTTCATTTTTTCTTTTTAAATCAAATTCAAATTTAACAAGGGATCCTTTTTCTAAACCTTGAAACTTTATTTTAGATAAGTATTTTTGTTATGTATAGTTTATCAAATACATCCTCTTAAAAAAACTTTTTTGGTCTTACTCTGTTCTTCTAGGAGCTGACTCTTATAATTGTTGTTTCCTGTACCTTCTTGACAGTGACTTTTTCTTGTTGAATCCAGAAAGTGGAAGGAAAGGGAAGAATTGACAGTAGGAAAAAAGATAGAGGCCAGATTTTCTTCCTACCTTGTCATGCCTACTGAAGCATCTCTGCTAGTGGAAATATCTCTCTATAAGTATAGTGCATGCATGACATTTCCTCCTACATGGCTTTAGATTTGCATTAAACTCTGTTTCCTTCTTGGGCCTTAGTTAGAAAAGCAAGTCTTTTTAAGTCCATGGAACCTTAATCATATTTTTGTGAAATGAGGGAAATAATACCTCCCCTGCACATTTTTTTTGGTAAGAGATTATGTATGTGGCTATCAGGAGGAAATCTAATATTTCAATTGATATTTAGTATGCTGTATCAATAATTCTCTCCAGCTCTTCTATAGCTGAATAGTGACTATTGAAAAAAATCTAACGTAGACAGCAACTATAAACTCCTGACAAAATATAAAGGTTAACTTTCTGAAGGAATTGGCTAATAATCCACAGCAGGCATATACTAGAGGAGAGTAACTTACTGAGATGAAAGAAACAGGACTGGATGAATTTTTCATTGTTATAGCTTTTAAACTAAGGGCAGTCCCAAGTCTTACCAGACTGGGAGGCTTAAAAATCCAGCAAAAAACTGATAGCCTAACTGGCAGAAGAATCAAGAGTTTAGGACAACTATAGCCACTAGAAATTGACGAAGAAATCCTACAAAGGAGGGTTCTAAAACTGAGAACACAAATCTAGCTATAAGCTCTCCCCAGATTTCCAGCTGACCCCTGAATCATACCTGCATGGGGCAGGCTCCAGCAGGCCAACTAAAACTAAAATAGTAGTACTGAAATTTAAGTGTGTTGTCTGTTTTTTAAGAGAGAGTTTGCAATTTGAGTCCATTCAAATTAAATATTAAAACAAATTAGTCAGCACTTTTTAGAGACACCATAGAATCCAGAATCTCTCCAATACATCATTTACATTGTCCAAAATACAGTCCATAGTAACTTGATGAAAAAATTGGGAAAATAGGGCCAGGGATTTAGCTCAGTGGTTTCGCCGCCTGCTATGCAAGCGCAAAGACCCGAGTTCGATTCCCGGTACCAAAAAAAAAAAGAAATTGGGAAAATGAACAATTTTAAAAAGAGAAGAAAATTGGTGTCATGTGACCTTCAAAAAACTCTCAGATGTAAATAGCAGGTAAGAATTTGAATGCAACTATTATAAATGTGCCCAAGGATATTAAAAAATGCTCACAATGAATGAAAAGATTGGAAATCTCAGAAGAAAATAGAAACTATAAAATAAAACTTCTAGAATTGAAAAATATAATATCTGAAATAAAAATATTCATTGAATATGATTAACACAGAAAGAATAGAATAGAATAAAGAATAAATTAAGTAAGATACATCCAAAGAAAAACTACACCCAGCCACATCACTGTCAAACTGCTAGAAAATAAAGATGAAGAGAAAATCTTGAAATGATAGCCAAGGAAAATGACATACTTCATACAATTCAAATGACTGTTGACTATCAATAACTATGAGACTAGGAAACAGGCAATATCAATTAAGTACTGAGAAAAAAACAAAATTTAGAGTTCTAAACTCAACAAAAAAAACAGTAACAAAGGCAAGAAAAAGCACATTTTCAGTTTAAAAAAAACAAGAGAATTCATTGCCAGCAGACCTGCACTGAAAATTCTTAGGACAGATAGAAATTGAAACAGCTGAAAATTCAGATCTTTAGGAAAGAAGGCCTTTTCAAATGGTAAGTCTGTGGGTAGATAAGTACCAACTACCAACTGACATAAAAATAATCAAGTTTCTTTATGTTATGTTACTTTATGATACATAATGTATATAAATATATATAAAGTAATATTAGATCAGAAATTTAAACTAGGACACCTAACTTTGAGGGCAGATTTCAAAGTACACAGTAATCCAGATGGAAGTTTTTAAAAGAAATTACCAAGAATTTACTAGATAACTCAACCATATTATGAGCATAAAAAGTTTGGGTTCTTGGACAATTGAAAAGATTTTTGAGGATGATTAATATGCTCTGACTACCAACCTTCACCATTCAAAGATATTGGAGTGCTATATCTGGCACTTAAGTTTAGTGAAATGGGCTTTAATAGGACTACTTGGATAATTTGATATCTATTCACTATGGTGGAAGAGTGTAAGTAGGTTTACTAATTTATTATTTATTTGAGTCAGGCTTATTGAGGCCCAATTTATGCAAAGTAAAGTTAACCTTTTTTAGCTGCACAGTCCTATGAGATTTCACAAATAAGTTTTAACAAGTAATACCATATCATTACACCTCTCCAAAAGCTCACTGGTATTCCTTTGTAGTCAATAATCTCATTGCACTTCTAGAGGCTATCAGTGGTTTGATTTTTATTCCTATAGTTTTATCTTTTCAGAATATCATATAAATTGAGTCATAGAATATGTGGTCTTTTGCTCACTTTGGCAGCACATATACCAAAATTAGAATATGTAGCATTTTGTATCTGTCTTTCAATTAACATACTGCTTTTGAAATTCATCCATATTGCATGCATCAGTAATTTTGAACACAATTTGTCCACTCATTAGCTGAATTCTTGGATCGTGCTATGGTTTGAATGTTCCTTCCAACACTGATGTTGAAATTCAATTATTGAAGTAGTATTGAGAGGTGGAACCTCTAAGAGATGATGAGGTCCTAAGGGCACTCCCCATGAATAGAGTAAGGACATTAGTGGGTTAGTAATTTTAAGAGTAGGGTTAGTTATTTTGAGAGTAGTCTCCTTGGCCCTGTTTTTCTGTCTCCTATGTACGCACTTGCCCTTTTGCTATATTATGGAACAAGAAGGCCCTCACCATATGTTCCCTGCAATATTTAGAACTATGAGTCAAATAAACTTCTATAGTTTATAATTTTCCCAGTCTATGGTGTTCTGTTATAACAGCAGAAAATGGGCCAAGACAGATGGCTCCTAATTTTTATTAACTACAAATAAGACTTATTTAAGCATTTGTACACAGGTTTTTGTGTGAGTGTGTCTTCATTTCTTTGGGATTAGGAGTAAGATTTTTGGGGATAGTATGTTAAGTGTATGTTTGATTTTATTGGATTGCTAGATTTTGTTTTGGTTTTTATTTTTGGTGCTGAGGATTGAAACACAGGGCTTCATGCATGCTAAGAATATGCTCTACCACCGAGATATACTGTCAAGCCCTGGATTGTTGTTTGACTACTTAGAAAATCTTCAAGATGGGTTGGCAACTGCAGGAGAAGAATGAAGGAGAGCCATCTTCTCATCCTGAATATGCTGAGATAAGGGACACATAAGTGTTTACTGTAGACCAGACAGTCTTTGTATTAGTTTCTGCTAAAAAAAAAAAAAAAAAAAAAAAAACACCATCCCAAAATACATAGGGCTTAAAACAAAAGCAATAATTTATTTGCTCACAGTCTGCAATTTGGGCAGGCACAGGGCTGACATCGCTGCTGTGTTAGCTGGGGCGCCTCTGCTCTCTGATACTGGAGGATCTAAAATGTCTTCATTTCCGAATCTGGTGCCTCAGCTGGCAAGGCCACAACACCTGGTGTCTGGCTGAGCCTCTCTCTCCAGCAGCGTAAATGGACTTATTTACATGATAACTGGAGTTCAAAAGGGCCAAACACCTAAATGAAACAAAAAAAACACAAGCTATAACACTTCTTAAGGTATAGACTTGAAAATCACACAGCATCACTTTTGCTGCATTTTATTTGGATCATCCCAGTTTAAAGAACTTTCTCATTCCTTTTACCTCTTCTCCCCTCCCTATGCCAACTTCTACTCTGGAAGAAACAGAAAATGAGAAACCAAAGTTAATAAATGAGGGAAGAAAAACAGGGAAAGGAAGCAAGACAGTACTCATTTCTACTTGCCTATGTCTAGCTTGCAGCAGGTGTTTATGACATTAAAACAATTTTGGACTCTTGATACCTTCATTATTGGACACATATAATTACGGTACTCAGACTGTATTTGTGACCTACCATGATTATAGGACTTTATGTAAGAGCAGGCAGGAAAAAATATGGGGCCTGCCTGAGTTTTAACCTAAGGGTAGGCAAAAGACAGAATAAAGCTTGAAAAAAATCATGGAAACAACAAATAAATTATTAAAGCTGTGAGTTTTATAGTTAGGTTTATCATAGGTAAGTTTTTGTGACAGTTGAAGAATACTACAGTGATATATGTATACCCATGTTTATAGTGGCACAATTTGTAATAGCTAAATGTTGGAAGCAGCCCAAATGCCCATTAACAACAAATAGATAAAGATGCAGTTGTTTTTATACAATGGAGTACTACTCTGCCATAAAGAAGGATTAGCTTCAGACATTTATAGCTAAATGGAAGCACCTTGAGACCATACTCTTAAGTGAAATAAATCGAACACACATGTTTAAATGCCACATTGTTTCTTTGGTGTGAGAAACCAAAAATGGAAATAAGGACTGAAATGTATGATAGATACTGGGAAATGGGAAGAAAATGTTCAAATGGGAAATTGAACAAGGGAGAAGGGAAGGAGAAAGGAAGGAAAGGATGTGAAAATAGAAGGAAAATGGAAACAAAGCTTTTGTACATAGGGAAAGGAGGGGGCTTGAGGAGGGGGGAAATGGGAAAAAGGAGGCAGGATGTATCATGTACAGCTGCAAATTCCCTATGATGAGTGTTATCACTATGTATGCCTAAAATGTACCAATAAATGTTTTGTTATAAAAAATACTTCCTTCTACAAAAAATTAAAGAGTGAATACTTAATATAGCCAGTCAGTTGTTATGATATGATATATAGTAAAATATTCCATCACTTACCAGCTATGTGATCTTGGGCAAGTCCCTGAATCCCTCTCTGTCTTATATTTTTCATGTGTAAAATGAAGTAAATAATACCTGTCTTGTTGACGAGTTGAGAGACTTAGAATCTAAGTTAAATCCTTAACAGATTATCTGGCAAATAGTAGCTTTCACATGATGGTTATCATCATCTTCATCCACCCTAAGTTGTTTTTTTGAATTAAATTATTTTTTCAAGAAGTTGTCCTATTCTTTATTTCTACCATGTTGTACACATTTATCCATGGGCTTTAAAAATAATATTTTAATGAATGCAATAATATCCTTAAAAATGCTAAGCAGTTCAATAAATAGTGGTTAGTATTATAGTTGCTTGAATATAAACCCTTTCTCCTCTTCCTACAGTGTGCTAGCTATACCATTTCTGATACTCCATTTAATTTTTATAAATCTGATAAAGCTGATAGCTTCACTTATAACATGCTTTCTAAAAGTAAATGTATTGTTTCTAGCCCTTATGCATAGATGCATAGATGCTGTGAATTCAGGGTATTTGAAAAATTGCACTAGCCTACTAATATTTTTTTCTCCTTGATATGGATCTTTCTTATGTTAGCTGACATTTCTTAATCAGTTTTTCTGGTAGTTAAAAAAAATGGGCTGAGACTTCACCAATGCCTTCCACAAGATAGGGAACTCTCAGTCCATTTTTTAACCACCTGAAAAATCATGGCATGTGGCTCTGACCTAATTTATTTTAGAATTTACTTTTTCTTGGAGCACAAGATTACTATAGCTTTTGATTTCCATTAGGGCAAAATAGTTCCTTAAAAAGCAAAAAGTCAAAATCATGAACAAATATACGTGAATGCACACAAATACATTTACTTTTATAACATCTTACTCTTGATAATATCTCTGAAATTAAATTAAAACCCCACTTTTTTGTTTCAAACCAGTGTCCCTTCTCTATCTGCATGATATCAGTTGTCTCTATTGACTCAAGAAGTTAAAACTGATTATTATGAAGGCAAACTGGAATATATATTTTTTTCTAAAGTCAATATAAAATTCCTGGAATTATTTATAGCAATCTTTATGCCCCAGACCTTTCCTTGTTAGTTTTTAGGATTGAAAATTGACAGCACAATTATTCTAGGCCTCCAGAATAATCAGGGCAAAACTTTTCAGTAGTGAGGAGTCACCAGCAAGCTTAGCCACCACTCCAAGCAATTGTTTTGGTTTATGTGAACTTATGACATACTATCCCTCAAAATTAGCTAGGAACAGACATCTTGCAAAAGTATGCTACTTGTAGAAAAGGTTACATGGCCAGTGGAAGAATCAGGAATTACTCATCATTGCTATTGGAAAAATAACTTAAAATAATCTGAAAGTTGCTATTTTGCCATTGTTTTGGATGCAATTTATCAAATGATGTTTTGGAGAAATGACAGTGATACAATACTCTGACATGAAGTATAAATCCATCTTAAATGTTTTCATTTTTATTTCCCAAGTTGAATTTGTTATTACACTGTACTGGGCACAATAAATAGGCAAAGAGGACAAGTGGTATATATAAATACTGTTAAAAACACACTTATACCATCATTCTTGTCACTTTTCAAAGCATTTCTGGAGGTCTTCCCTTTTTAGTGTCTTTAGTTGCATTGTTGTGGCTACCTCAGTGGTCTGAATTGATTCAAAATTTTTTTCTTTCACGGTCATTTTGACTTTGAGGAAGAGACATAAATCATCCAGTGCCATATCTGATGAATAAGGTGGATGAGAACACCACATAATGTTTTTTATGAACCTGCCTTTCAATTGGATGGCTGTCAGCAGCAGCATTCACCATATTTTTTTTATCAATCTCATAAAGATATGAAAGACTTCCAAAACTGCTTCAGAAATTGGCAAGAGCAATTGGTTAACTGTGTTCAAAGCAAGGGGAAGATTTCAAGGGAGGTTAATGTCAATATGTCTTTTACTGTAATTTTAAAAATTTAAACATTCACCATATATTTTGATCACCCCTTGTATAATTCCTTAAATAATAATAATCACTCTGTGCAATAAAGAGTATTTTTGTTGCAAGGTTTTATAGTACATATTCTATTATCCATAAAATTGTGAAATGGGAAAGAACATTTGAGAATAACGGGTCTGATTTTACATATGAGGGAACTGATGACTTTCCCAGGAACACAGTGCTGCTCATGGTTCAGAATCATATAGATATGAACTTAGTTTTCCAACACTAACTCTTGCATTCTTCCCTTTCCAATACTTTACAGATTATACAGGTAAATATTGTTATGTTAAAAAAATTGGTGCTTTAGCACATAGTGAAAAGTAAAATTATACTTAAAAGTGGTTTTCTATCTTAGACACACATTAAAATTACCTATACAGCAATTAAAACCATGAACACAAAACTGCACCTCAGATGAATTGCATCACAATATCTGGTGATGAGATCTAAGAATTACTATCTTTCAGAGCTTCCTAGGTGATTCCAATAGGCAGCCAAGTTTGAGAACCACTGTACTAAAATAATTATAATGAAGGACAGGTGTCCCCTGCTCAACTGTTTCTAACTTCTTAGTTATACTTCCTAAAGCAATTGCTCTTAAAGTCTGGACCAAAGACCAGATCAGTCCACTCCAATTTATTGAATCAAAATCTCTGAGGATGAGATCTAGATAAGTGTGGTTCTTATTCATGTTAAATTTTGAGAATGAACTATTCTGCACACGTGTCCTGGGATTAATAGATTGCGCCTACTTAGTCATCCAATCTTAGTGATATCCTACCTTCCTACCACAGTAGGATATGATTTGGTGTTTCTATATGCTAACCTGTAGAGGAGAAATTGCATTAGGAAAGATGTGGAGAAGGGCTGCATTTCTGTTCTGCTATTCATTAGAACTCTAAGGACCCTTCCAGGCTTCCATACCACCACCCCCAGTGTGACAAGCAGAGCCGCCCCCATCAAAGTGGAGGTGAGCCACCCAGGCACCAGCAGCATACACCACTCCACCCACCCCTTGAAATGAGAAGACATAAACAAGT